CCCCCTGACCCCCCTGCCCCCCCATCCCTGAGCCCTCTCCTGCATCCCGGCAGCCATTCCCTGCCTTGTCCAGCAGTCACTCTGGAGGCTGGGACCCTGGGGGGAGGGTGGGTTTGGGGAGCTGCACAGAGATGTCAGGTGAGATGACTACGAGGCCCTCCCCGAGGGAGGGAGGGAGGGAGGGTCTGGGGAGGGCAGAGACACTAAGAGTGCAAAGCCTGCTGGGAGAAAGGGGGAGAGGGCCGAGGGGGGCGTGGGAAGCCGGCCCTTGCCCAGCCAGCTTGATAAGCTTTTTTGATCCACACTGAAGCAACACAGACCCTGAGCTCGAGACAACTAGGCCTGGGAACCTGGCTCTGGCTCCGGCTGCCCTCCCAGCCCCCCTGCCCTGACCCTGGCGGTCACAGATCTCAGGGCAGGCTCCCCTGGAGTCTGGGGGCCCTCTGTGGACGTGCAGGGGTCAGGGAAGGGAGGTGCGTGAGCCGCCTCGGGCCGGCCTGTTCCCCACCCGGCTCCGGGTGGAGCTCAGCGTGTCTGGCTGGGAAGGCGGTCCCGTCTTGCACACCCCCACTTTCACCGAGCCTTGGGGGTGCTGGGCCTGCGCCCTTGCCCTCACCCTCACCGGACCTGCCCCAGGGTCTGGCCAGCCCTGCCACAGCACTGGAGACCCCCAGGCCAGTGCTGGCTGCGCGCTGCCCAGGAACACCCCCAACACAACTCTGCCCTGCAGGTGGTCAGCAGGCCCCACGCCCAGGGCTGCCACAGTCCCACCCGCAGCCCCTTGTCTGTCCAGGCCCGGGGACAACAAAGCTGTCACCAGCCAGGACCAAGAGCAGAGGGGTGTGGCTTGGGGGAAGGACCTAGACATCTCTATTAGGGACTTCAGACTGTGCCTTTCTATCCTGACCAACACTGGGACCTCAGGGGTGGAGACTGGGGTCGCTTGGGGGCTGGGGTGCAATCCTCAGGCTCAGGACAGGTGGACACTTGCAGCCCACCAGCCGCTCAGCACGCAGAATGAGTGTGGGGGCGTCCAGGCGTGGTGTTGGTGAGGGTCAGTTCAAGATGGAGCCACGTGGGGCCTGGCTGCCGGGAGCAGCCACACGGCACGGGGCGTGCCGATCCTCAAAGGCTGCCCATGCTGATGGTGAGCAGAAGTTGGGGCTCAGGGGCCTCCCCGGAGCCCGCGGGAGCTCAGACGGGGCTGCGGCTGGCAGAACATAGCGCCACCGGGGATGCTGGGACTCGAGGCCTCCCTGACGGCCAGGCGGCTGAGACTTCATGGCTGGCAGGGAGGTCACGGGCCCTCGACAATCTGGGGTGCTGTAGAGTCCCCATCCCTGGAGCTGGGTCTGTCTCTGGGACCCGCCACCCTATTCCTCTTTCCCTGTGATGCCCCCTGCTCCCCTCAGCCCTGCCCAGAGGGGGTCGATGGAGGCCTTGGAAGGGAGGCAGAGGTCCTAAGTGGGCACACCAGACAGGCAGGGGAGTGGGGCTTGGCCTCAGACCCCCAAACCTCCCTCCGCTCCACTTGGAGGCCAGGTGCTGCTTGGCACCTCACCGGCCTGGCCCAGGGCAGCTGCACCTGCCGCGTCCCACTGAAAGCCGGCCGGACTGCCATGCCCCACAGGAGGAGTCCTGAGCTCCCAAAGCACGGGGCTCCAGGCACGCCAGCACCCGCCACCCAGAGCAGACTGTACTCGCTGTGCTGCAGTGCCTGGCTGGGGTTGAGGGGCTTGTTGGCTCCTGGAGCACCCTAAGCACTGCAGAGGGCACCCCACCATTTCCAAGCCTGGCTGAAGTCCCTGGGAGGAGGGCGGGTGCTTGTGGGCGCTGAGTGCCAGGCTGCCTGCAGCCCAGCCCCGTCCAGTGGGGCTGGGGGAGGGCTGGGTGTGGGTTCTTACACAGAACGCTACGTCCGTCCTGAGCTGTCCATGAGATGGCCAGTCCTGGGCCGGCCCGGACCAGACATGGACAACTGCTTCAAGGGCAGAGGTTGAGTACCCATCAGGTGCTAGACCCCGGGCACTCCGCGCTCCCCGCTCCGCCGGGGCTCAGAAGGCCGAGGGCGAAAGCTGGCACAAGGGCAGTCGGGAGGTCGGGTCCCAGAGGAAGAGTCAGAGGGGGAGGGGCAGAGGCCGGCAGTGGGGGGCAGCCAGGGCGGCCTGGGGCCTGAGCAGTCCCAGCTTGTTTATTCTTGGCTGAAAGGCTGGTGCAGGGGAGGGGAGGGGAAGGGAAGGGGGAGGGAGGCCTTTCAAAAATAATAATAATAAAAACGTTCATTTAGAAGGCTCCCAAGACGTGCTGAACTCCAAAAGGGTCCTGGAAAAAATGCTGAGAGGGTTTAAGTGTAAATGGACCAAAACTCCATAATTAAATTTCCCTTCAATTTACCAGAGTTTGGGGTCAAAGAAAAAATAAGACTTAGGGAAAATACACTTGAGGTTTCAGGCAAATGCCAAGAGCTTAGGAAAATAGATTTCTGAGCTGCTCAGCGGCTACCGGCCTGGCCAGCTAGCCCACGAGCCGAGCGCTGGAGGCTTTAACCCCTCCCTGCTCAGCTCTGGCCAGGCCTCATACCCAGCCCAGGGTGCTCATGGTGCCCTTTGGCACCAGGCTGGGGCGGACGCTGCGACCCCAGCCCAGCGAGGCCCTCGCCTCCCTTCTGTATCTGCTAAGTGGAGAGCCCTGCTCTCCATTCTCGGCTCACCTGAGATCAGCTACTTCTCTCCAGTCGGGCCTTGAGGTTTAGCAGTCCGAGTGAACCAAGAACAAGAACAAAAAGGGCAGAAAGCTTGGACCAGACCATGATGGCACATCCAGGCTCTCAACAGCTCATGATTCATGGTGTTGTCCTTTTTGCTTGGCCCGCCAGGAAGCTCAGGGCTAAAATTATGGATCTTGTATAGTAGCTAGTGTTGGCTGAGGGATTGTGAAATATTTTCTTTCTCCATGTCCTTTAAAATTCCACCTCTGTTAATAATGAGCAAATCAAATGTGCCTTTTATTTTACTCTTTCTCAAATTCTCAGAATAAGTTTAAAAGGTAGAATTCACCCACCATCCCTCCAGGACACAGCCCCACTCAAACCTTCTCTGTTCTCCTTGGGGGGAGGGAGTCAGCCCGGCTCTGAGGCTCACTGAGAGGCCTCTCTGTGCTCCCTTGCTGTGTAGCCTGAATCTTGGGCTCTTGTCAGCACACAGGGCGGTGGGAGATGGGAGCAGAGAGAACAGCTCTGGAACCCGAAGAGTTTGTCAGCGATGGCCGACCTGCCTCAGTTTCCCCTATGCCTCCACTGAGCTAAATGGTAGGGCCAAAAGGACTTCCGAGCATCATGAGGGAGCCCAGGCCAGGCGGACTCCCAAGGATGAGCCGGGCAGGGACTCCCCAGGGCTTCCAGCCTGGGCTTCAGGCTGGCTTTGGCCCGTGGCACCACTGCCTGCCAGGAGCCCTGCGGTTGGAAGCGGTTGGAAGTGGCTGTGGATTGGGGTCCGTGCCAGGATCACCAGCTCTGCTGACGGCAGGAGCCTTGCCGCCATTGCCTGGCCTGGTGGGCAAGGGGCAGACGTGGAGCTGGCCACGCCAGCCTGTGGGGAACCACGGCCTGGGCACGGCTAGCCCCTCCATGTCACCCTCCCTGCTGCTGGGCCCAGCGGGGAGTCATGGGACTGGGCTGGGCCTCTGCCCCTCTCGGGCTGCTCTGGGGACCCCGTGGGTACAGGCCTTGCCAGCTGGCTGCAACTCAGTGGGGCGGGCAGCAAGGTGTCTGTGTGGGGTGGGCTCCGGCATCTGAAGTGCCGTCCCCCTCATTGTCCCCTGCATCTCCACCCAGCCCTCCTCTCCTGCTCGCCTGCCCCACGTCCACCCAGCCCTCCTCTCCTGCTCGCCTGCCCCACGTCCACCCAGCCCTCCTCTCCT